TGAGGGACTTTCTTCCCTCCCCCTTGTTGCCATTTTGGCACCCAGGGCAGTGGGAACTTCTCCCACGTGGTGGAAGGGATCTCATGTGCACAGGAGAAACTCCCCTAAGGGTTTATTTTCCCGGGTTTTTTCCTACTCAACAATCAAATGTGAGCCCTAAGTGTTTGTGGATTTTACTTGCCGGTATTACCAGCACTGCATTCAGTTGATGCTGCCACATCTTGCCTGTTACTGTACGTCTAAGAACGAGTTGGCAATATGCACCTAGTTTGACAATGGTCTTTATGTCAAACAATGGTCAGCTCCTTCTACTACTAGTATATAATATCTGGATTTGCACGGCACTAAAGCCACCTATATAAGGATCAACATTTGTCATCGTAGAAACGACATGGTTGCATGGCAAACTCGTGAGACGCACTAGTCTAAAACACTCAAACGAGGATCATTCATATCCGTTACAGGAACAAAGCAAAAATGTACTTGAGCGGTTGAGCCTAGACCTACTACTGGTTTAAAAAAAAATTAAAGTCTCGACTCATCATACGGGGAAGAACATTCCAATGATTGATGGCCATAAACATCAGCCATGCATGTTACTGAAAAAAAAGAGGGCATCAAGAAATAGGGCGCAGCTTTGAGAGCACGATCAGTGCTTCGTGGAGACCATGGTACAGGATTTCTTATCTGAAAGCAAATGAGGCTGCTGGATGTTACATCCCCCAAAACTCCAGTTCACGCCTGGCGAATTCTTTCATCTACTTCTGGCTACGGAGATCTGGTAGAATTATCAGGGAGATGATAAGTGTGTAGTTTAGGATCATGCACAGAAGAAACATATTTAAGTTAACAAATATACTTTCAATTTAACAGAATGGTGACAAGACATCAAGCAGATTATATGCACATATAAACATGTAGCTTTTCAGGGAAGGTGGAACAAGACAATATGCAGCTTACATCCGTCAGCCAATAGCACAGAAACACACAAGCAAGTAATAATACTGATAACACAAATAAATACGAAATGTTATCTGAAGAGAAGGTATGACTCACAAGCACTCCCACTCCGGCGGACGTATATCTTCTCGAGGGGTATTACCATTTGCCCTGAACAAATTTGCCAACTTGTGGACTCTCCCATCATCCTTTGAGCAGTTGATCTTTACCATTCCCAGGTCTTTGCAAGTAAATGATCTTCTCTGTAGTTTGATACCTGTTTATGATACCTTTCTGGTATTGAAGTTCTTTTGCAGATCAAGAAAGTTGTTGTTAAACATGTGTTCAGGTACTCAAAAATAAAAAATAATCAAGTAAGCATAAGCCCCAAATATGTAATTACACATACAATTTTAAGTTGGAGAAAGAGCTTCTGTATATTATGTGAGTGCTGCAGCAAGAAAATTAGTGTTTCAAAGTCTGCAGCCATACACCATTCGCCAAGGGACAGGGTCTTCAGGTTGCCAAAACTTGGACACATTTCCAGTTCCCTACTCAGAACCACCTACACACATAAAATGAGTGTTCAGCAAATAAACATAGTAATTTGAATCAATTTTATATTTTATATACTGAATACAAGAGGTTTATTTAATATGCAGAGAAGAAAACAAACATACTCACCATGAAAAAGAAATTAAGACATACAGTAATGTGTTACCATGATTAGCGCCTATTGGTAAAAATATGATTCATCATTTTTTCTATAATGTGACGGGACATTGCCATTATACTAGGACAACTCGAAAGTCCTAGCACTTGAAAGAGACTCGAGAATATGGCGTCCACCTAAAATCTTCCTACCATTGCATTCTCTGTTTCCACCATAGTTACCATCATTACTGGAAATCTGGCCTTTACCTTTGTAGCCATGCTTTGCATCATTTGCAATCTCACCGTATTCATAGGTATTGTCATCGCTATCGATATCACTACCATAATCAAAATTATCCTTGTAACGACCCTGCGTGTAACTTTCTTCAGCAAAAGTATATCCATATCCAAATCTTATAAAATGATCATATTCAAAATCATCACCCAAGGAAGAGTCATCATCATGAATCTTAGAGGTATCTGTCCAATCATTATCATCGCTATCATCCCCATCATCATCAGTAGTTCCATCACAGCCATCTTCATCACTGATGTGTTCAAAGTCATCACCCAAGAAAGAGTCATCAAGTATGATAGTCATCACCCAAGAAAGAGGTGACCCCAAGTTGTTGAATGATGGGACTCGGACGTAAGGCGTGGTGAGGCGCAGAAGTAGGAGGTTCGGAGCAGCAATGGAGAAGGCGCAGTTGATCTTGCACTTGAGCATGATCAAAGTCTTCAAAGAGGCAGACACAATCCCGGCACTAGTCACTAGGCAGTCCTTGAGATCCAGCTCCTCCAAAGACGTGCAGCTGGAAGAGAGCTGCTTGAGGATCCGGCCGTCGAGCCTGGCATACGACAGCTTCAGCACCTTGAGGTGGCACGAGACGAACTGCACGCGTTCCAACGATGCAATCTCCGAGCGATGCCCAGCGAGATGGATGACCCGCGCGTTGCGGTTGATGGCAGCCCTGATCCACGCGCTGGCGTCGTCCTCGTCATAGCCGGCGTCCTCATCGCCGGACCGCAGGCGGAGCGTGCCCACGGGCGCTGACGCGTCGCGGAGGAGGAAGAGGTGGTGCACGAAGTGGCGGAACTCCCCCAGCGGGTCGGCGTCGCGGCCGGAGGAGTGGCGCACGCGCAGGTCGACGCAGGGCGAGGAAGCCCAGAGGTGGCGCCACCGGCGCGCGAGCACGCAGGTGCGGACCGCCTCCAACGCCTTGAGGGACGACATGATGTGGTGCAGGAGCGCGTCCGGGAGGGCGCTGAGGCGGTCGGGCTTGACGGCGGCCGGGCCGCGGGATCTGGGCTTGAGGCTGGCGCCGCGGCGCGGCCCCGGGCGCTGGGTGGTGCTCCGGCGCATTTCGTCGAGCAGAAGGCCTGCACGTAGGGTTTTGGGTCACCCCGGCGCAACCCTGTCAGTCAGGATTTTGAAATCTCTGCGGGGGAGATGCATATGGAGACGAGATCGGGGGAGATGCATATGGAGACGAGATCGGGAGTCACCTTGGTTCATTTCCTTTTACACGACATCAGAATTTGTACGGTAGTAAAGCTGCCTATAACTCAGCACAGGATCAATGCTTAAAGCTTACTGGAGCATAGCACAACGCATGACAGACTCAGATGCACCACTCTCAAGTCTGAAGCATTCAAACGACGAGCATTCATATCCGTTCCAGGAACAAAGCAAAGTTGTACTAGAGGCTAGACCTACTACTAGTTGAACTTCTCAGCTCATCCCACTGGCAACAACATTCCAACGATTCAATAATCACCAACGTCATCCATGTTACCAAAAAAGAGGCAATCAAGAAACCCAGCGGAGCTTTGAGAGCACGATCAGTTGCTCATGAGGATGTTGGATGTTACACCCCCCAGAACTCCTTCGTCTACTTCTGGCTGCGGAGATCTGGTAGAAATATCAGGGAGTGTATAAGTGCATAAGTGTGTAGTCTAGGATCATGTACAGAAGGAACATACTTAAGTTAGCAAAACATACTTCCAATTTAACAGAATGCTGACAAGATATTAAACAGATTATATATGCACATAAAAGCATGTGGCTTTTCAGGGAAAGCGGACCAAGACAGTATGCAGTGGACATCCGTAAGCATGTAGCACATGAACATACAAGCAAGTAAAACTACAGATAATGAAAATAAATACAAAATGCTATCTGAAGAGAAGGTATGGCTCACAAGCACTCCCGCTGTGGCGGACATAAATTTTCTCGACTGGCATACCATTTGCCATAAACAAATTTGCCAGCTTATGGACTCTCCCATCATCCTTTGAGCATGTGATCTTCACCATTCGAAGATCTTTGCAAGTAAATGATCTTCTCTGTAGTTTGATACTTGTTTCTGATGCCTTTTTGGCATTGAAGTTCTTTTGCAGATAAAAAAGTTGTTGTTAAGCATGCGATAAAATACTCAAAACTAAAAGATAATCAGGTAAGCATAAGCCCCAAATATGTAATTACACATACAATTTTAAGTTGGAGAAAGAGTTTCTGTATATTAGGTGAGTGCTGCAGCAAGAAAATTAATGCATCAAAGTCTGCAGCCATACACCATTCGCCAAGGGACAGGGTCTTCAGGTTGCCAAAAATTGGACATGTATTCAGTTCCCTACTCAGAACCACCTACACATTGCACATAAAATGAGTGTTCAGCAATTAAACATAGATTTGAATCAATATTATATTTTATATATTGAATATAAGAGGTTTATTAAATATGCAGAGAAGAAAACAAACTTACCAACCACGAGAAAGAAATTAAGACATATAGTGATGTGTTACCATGATTAGTACCTATTGGTAAAATAAGATTCCTCATTCTTTTCTATAATGTGAAGGGACATTGCCGTTATACTGGTACACAGACTCAAAATAGTTAATTACACAACGATTTGAACAATAATCATTTAAAAAGATACACTACTTCAAGAATGTAAAAAATAAGAAACAATAATCTGAAATAATATATAATGCTCTCTTGAAGCTTCATACTTTCATATCTCATTGATTTCACCTACTACATTTGATGATGAAATGAGCCAGTACTAATTTCTTGATCTGAACTCTTCTACAAGTCAACAGTGCCATTCTAACCAGGTGTTGCTACTTATGTAAGAAATGTGGTCATTGTACATGTGTATTCTGTTGGGAGCAACATAAATTTCTTTTGCAAACATCAGAAAAAAGTTGTTATGAAAAAGAAAAAAATTATAGGTATATCAAGAAAATTTTCATACTCGGAGATAGAGAAAATAATAAAAGGTGGTGACAGCTATACCTCTCCAGCATCAGTCAACAACTCCAAAGTTCTAGCACTTGAAAGACACTGAAGAATATGACGGCCACCTAAAATCTTTGCATCATTGCATTCTCTATATCCACCTTAGATACTATCTTTACTGGAAATCAGGCCTTTACCTTTGTAGCCATACTCTGCATCATTTGCAATCTCACTGTATGCATAGGTATTGTCATCGCTGTTGATATCACCACCATAGTCATAATTATCCTTGTAACGACCATGCCTATAAATTCCTTCAGCAAAACCATGTCCATATCCAAACCTTATAAAATCATCATATCCAACATCATTACTCAAGGAAGACTCATCATGAATCCTCGAGCTCTCTGTCCAATCATTATTGTCGCTATCATCCCCGTCGTCATCAGTAGTTCCATCACAATAATCTTCATCACTGATGCATTCATTGTCATCACCCAAGAAAGAGTCATCAAGTATGATAGTAGCTGTGACAAGTGACCCCAAATTCTTGAATGATGGGACTCGGACGTAAGGTGTGATGAGGTGCAGAAGTAGGAGGTTCGGAGCAGCAATGGAGAAGGCGCAACTGATCTCGCATTCGAGCATGATTAACCTCTTCAAAGAGGCAGACACAATCCTAGGGCCAGCCACCAAGCAATCCTTCAGACGTAGTACTTCCAAAGACGTGCAACTAGAAGAAAGCTGCCCGAGGATCTTGTAGTCGAGCATGGCATGCGACAGCTTCAAGACCTTGAGGTGGCAAGAGATGAACGACACGCGGTCCAACGACGCGATCTCCGAGCAACGCCCGGTGAGATGGATAACCCGCGCGTTGCGCTTGATGGCGGCCCTCATCCACGCGCTGGCGTCGTCATCGGTGAAGCCCGCTTCTTCGTCACTCGACCGCAGGCGGAGCATGATCACGGGCGCTGATTCGTCCCGGAGGAGGAAGAGCCGGTGTACGAAGTCGCGGAACTTCTCAGGCGGGTCGCCGTAGCGGCCAGTGGAGGGGCGCACGCGGAGATCGACGCAGGGCACGGACGCCCAGAGATGGCGCCACTGCCGCGCGAGCACGCAGGTGCGGATGACCTCCCACGCCTTCAAGAATGACATGATGTAATGCAGGAGCTCGTCCGGAAGGGCGCTGAGGCGGTCGAGCTTGGCGGCAGCCCGGCGGGCGCCGCGGCGCTGGGTGGTGCTCCGGTGCATTTCGTCGAGCGGAAGATCTGCATGCAGGTTTAGCGACACCGCGGCTCAGCTTTGTCAGTCAGGATTTTGAATGATGGAACGGAACATAACATACCAAGAGAGACTGCTTGAGATGGCCTAAACTGAATTCCGCCAAGAGACACTCACGTACACAAGAGCTAGCAGAAGCACTTGATCGGTTCCTGTACAAGCATGCACTAGTACATGAGCCTGACTTGTAGTACAAAGTTGAAGATTTTTAAAACCATCATCAAAGGATATGGGGCACATTGCCGTTTGTTAAGGAAACCGGCACAAACAAACTGCGGAGTGGAATGTCACAAATTCTCCAAATCCACTACCCAAAATAGTAATAAAATGATTGTACATAGCGGCGGCGAAAGGAAAGCAGGGGAGAGGTGGCCACCCTGCAGCTTCGGCGCGGACGGCGTGGGCTCATCCACGTCGTAGATGTGCTGGAGGAGGGCACGATGAACGTCACGTGGTGCCTCGAAGGCACCTATGCCGGCGGGGCCCGGCCCCGCCGTGGAGCTCACCGTCACGACGACGACCGGTTGCCGCTCGGAGATTTGGGGCGCGATGTCTGGTGGTGGCCTTGAGTCGGAGTAGCTGGGGAAGGGAAGGGAAGGGATGCGCTTGGCACCAGATCTGGAGCGCCGCCGCGAAGCAACAGGGGAGATGGTCAGATGGGACTATCACGGGAGCAAATCCTGAAATAAGAACCGTGAGCGCCCCCGCACTCTCTTAGAGCTTAGGCACTCTCGGCCATCAGATCAATTTCTTGATGCGTTTTCGACCATTCGATCTCGCTCCTGGAAGACCTCGGCCGTTGGATCAAACCGAAAACACTGCAGCAGTGAGTAGTGTGCCCTCCAGCGTGCCACCGCCCATTGTTTCTAGGCCCCGCCGAGGGCATTTTCGTCATTTCACGTCTTAGGTCAACACTTGCCTTTTCCGTGTCGCTGCCTCTTTCCCAATCAATGCTAGGGCTATTGCGGGAGCAAATTCGTTAGAAACGAGGGTCCTTTTTGCACAGAAGCGTGCATTTCTGTGTACACATCCGTCCCATTGAATTTGTGCCATCCATCCTCAATCCAGTGGTCCAGCTTCCAGTTTTCTATTTTTGCAACTAAATGCCAGATTCTATAGCAGTCGACCGACCAATATGGCGACTTTTGACTGAGAATGTCATTTTAGCACTAGTCATCCGGCATTCGGCATGCATAATTTGTGAAGGGTGCTCCAATTCAACCCTTCAAATAATGTGGGGGCATTGGTTTGGAGCATGCATCATCCACCATCTGCTCGAGCGGGAGGAAAGTTTTTCCTCGGACTCTTCCTCTTGCATGCAGCCCTATCAATGTCGTTGTCTCCGATGCAATTGCCGCTTCCGCCCTGACAATGTTGCAACTACGTATCCACCTGGAAGAGTGCCAACTAATGCTCTTCGTCACGTTCCCCTCCCGCACATAGCAAATCAGCCCCAAATTCCATCCAGAACATGCCCATTCGCTGGTATATGGACCCATTACCTTCGCCATCAGCACCACATTTAACCTCTCTCCCCCATCCCCGTCGCCAACACACTCACCTCACCGCCCCCTTCACCGGCCGTCACCCTGCCCTCTCCATCCCTGCCACCACACTCAATCTCATCGACCATGTCGATGCGGTAACGTCCTCCCCAGCAAGACCTAAGAGGTCCACACCGAGAGAGGGTTCTGGGGGAGGATGTGGGACTACTTCAAGTGGATCGAGGATGACGCGCACCGTAAGATAGAATCAGTCGTCGTCCGTGCCCGCCTACCCACCGCCCTCGAGTATTTTGAATGAATGTCAGTGGCAGCCTAGGCCGAAATGGGCGCCGCGCTCATGCCAGTTTTCAGATGCACTGTATGACGACTTTGGTAGAGTTGCTCTTATATCTCGCCAGCACAACCCATAAAAAACCACCCCCAGCTCTGCACCATATTTTGTGGTTTGGTCAAGCCAGGTCCACTCTGCGAGACCACAAGTGGTGGGGCGGAGGGAATAAAGGGCGGCAAAGAGGAGCCGTCAGGCGACAACCAAATCAAGATTTGCCATGGGGCAAGGTTTTGCCAATTAGGTGGACGGGGGCGTGAGTCCGATTAGGTGGGTAGAGGATAGTGCCATCTTGTTTACGCTTCCTAGACTCCTAGTTGGAATACTGGTCATCACACACATCATCTTGATAAGGGGACCCAACTGGTTAAAATCAGGGAAAAGTGTTAAATTGGGTTAAACACGACACATCACAACAATTTTGGGGTACAATGTAGCCAAAAATTTAAATGGGGCAAATACTATCATACACAAACAGTCGGTAAAAAGAGAAATTCACCATCTTATTAACAGTGCCCTTTTTCAACAACAAATATGCAGTGTATTTTTTCAGGTGTTAATATCTATTATTCTGAGAGAAAATACCTCACCGCTCGTAGTTGTAGGCACACATGATTCAGAGCATGAAGTTTACTTCAGTATTCAACCTGTCGTATATGAAGTGTATTTCCTTTTCACTGCATGTGAAACACATTTCAAATTTTCAATTTTGCATTGATTTCAATATACAACTATACTAAACTTCCGAAGATAAAAAAACCCTGACAAATGAACCCTACAGTCATACTGTCGGAGTGAAATAACAAAGCGTATCTCAGCTGCACCACAATTCAGGCACGGCGCATCCATAATTTATTTTCTGTTCTGGTAAAAAAGCAAAGTTTACTACAGACCGTACAGATGAATTAGTTTATAGTATAGGAAGAACATCCCAGCGATTTGTAGCCCATGCTACTAAAAAGGACGTCAAAAGATCTGGTGAAGCTTTGGAAGCATCATCAGTACTACATGGAGATCAAGGGTTCTTACTGCACCTTGCTAACAACATAATGGATGTTCGATGGCCGGCAGGATTTAATATCTAGAAGACCCCTCGTAAACTTCTAGACGTTTACATCCACTCGTCCCCACATTCATCCAGTTCTTGCTTGGCGAGGTCCCTCATAAACTTCTGGCCACGGAGATCTGTTAGAAATACCAAAAAGTATATGACTGTAGATTAGGACCATGTACGAAAGGACATCTTTTAATTTTACAAAATACACTTCTCATGTAACAGAATATCGATGAATACACTAAGCAGATTATATGCCCATTTATAGTTATTTAGCTTTTCATGAACAAGGCAATGTGCTCTTTACATCTCAGTAAATAGCATATGAACATATAAACTAGAAAGGAAATGATGATATTGCAAGTAAATACGAAATGGTATAGGTATGACTCACAAGCATTCCCGCTCCGACGCACATAAATATTCTCTAGTGATATACCATTTGCCCTGAACATATGTGCCAACGTGTGGACTCTCCCATCGTCCTTTGAACATTTGATCTTCACCATTCTAAGTTCTTTGCAAGTAAATGATCTTCCCTGTAGTTTGATACATGTTTCCAATGCCTTCCTTGTGCTGAAGTTCTTTAGCACATTAACCAAATTGTCATTAAGTGTGCGATCAGATACTAAAAAACTAATAACAATGAAGTCAAGGATCAAGTAGCATACACCAAATATGTAATTGTTGGGGAACGTAGTAATTTCAAAAAAATTCCTACGCACACGCAAGATCATGGTGATGCATAGCAACGAGAGGGAAGAGTGTTGTCCACGTACCCTCGTAGACCGAAAGCGGAAGAGTTAGCACAACGTGGTTGATGTAGTCGTACGTCTTCACGATCCGACCGATCAAGTACCGAACGTTCGACACCTCCGAGTTCGGCACACGTTCAGCCCGATGACGTCCCTCGAACTCCGATCCAGCCGAGTGTTGAGGGGGAGTTTCGTCAGCACAACGGCGTGGTGACGATGATGATGTTCTACCGACGCAGGGCTTCGCCTAAGCACCGCTACAATATTATCGAGGTGGACTATGGTGGAGAGGGGCACCGCACACGGCTAAAAGATCAAATGATCAATTGTTGTGTCTATGGGGTGCCCCCTTAGCCCCGTATATAAAGGAGAAAGGGGAGGAGGCGGCCGGCCAGGGAGAGGTGCGCCAAGGGGGAGTCCTACTCCCACTAGGAGTAGGACTCCTCCTATTCCTAGTAGGAGTAGGAGAGGGGGAAGGAAAGAGAGAGGGGGACACTAGTAGAAAAAGGGCCTTTAGTCCCGGTTCATAAGGGCCTTTAGTCCCGGTTCTGGAATCGGGACTAAAGGGTCGGTACTAAAGCCTCCCCCTTTAGTCCCGGTTCTTATACAAACCGGGACTAAAGGCCCTCCACGTGGCCGCTGCCTGGAGGTCCACCTTTAGTCCCGGTTGGTAACACCAACCGGTACTAAAAAAAATTTTATGATTTTTTTGGAAAAATAATTTGATTTTTTTATTTTCAAATTTATGAATTATTTTAACCTCTAATCTCTAATCACCCCTCATCACTTCTCAATTTAACCTTTAATCTCTAATCACCCCTCATGATTCCAAATCATCTAACTTCCCGAACGGTCACCCATCCTCTCACTACTCCAGCCTGAGCACGCTTAACTTTTAGGTTCTATTCTCCATCGTTTCCAAGTCTGCACTTGTTGTTTCCTGACAATAGTAAGATGTCAATCCTATTAACCCTCAGGAATTTAGCTTGAGCATGAAGTCACACATTTCACTGTTTGAGTTTGAAACTATTGTTCTAAAAAACAATAATTATTTAGTAACACTAATATTTCTTGAATAAGTAGTTTGACCACAGTTTGACCCTAGTTTGACCACAGTTTGACCATAGTTTGACCATATTTGAGCAAAATTCAGAAAAACTGAAATAATTATTTAGTAACACTAATATTCTTGAATAATTATTTAGTAACACTAATACTTCTTGAATAAGTAGTTTGACCATAGTTTGACCAGATTTAACAAAAATTCAAAAAAAACTGAAATTTGAGCATAACTTTTTTTCCTTTTAGAATTTGAGGATTCTAAAAATTTGCAAACAGGCCATAGGCCGTCAAAATCGTAAGCGGATTTTTGTTCTGAATATTTTGATATATTATACGTTTTTTTCCGACATCGTATGCAAAAGTTATAGCCGTTTTACATTTCCCTACACTTTTTGCAAAACATGTCCAAATTTAAGTTTTTAAATTTTCCTAACTAGTAGATGTAGTAATATAACTACCTCTTGAAGGATTTTATTTTTTGAAGTCTTTATCATTTTCTTTTAATTTTTTCAAAACAAAAAAGGCGATCCACCTGGGGGGGGGGTAGAGTTTGAAAATGGGACCTTTAGTCCCACTAAAGGGCATCGCACCCTTTAGTCTCGGCTCGTGTCTCAAACCGGGACTAAAGGGCTCAGGTGAACCGGGACTAATGCCTTAGCCGCACGAACCGGGACCAATGCTCACGTTAGTCCCGGTTCGTGACTGAACCGGGACTAATGTGAATATTGCCCCGCGACCAAAGCCCTGTTTTCTACTAGTGGGAGAAGGAAAGAGGGGGCCGGCCCCCCTTGCCCTAAACCAATTCGGTTTGGGC